AAGGGGTATTGTAACACTGTTGAAACTTTCTGCCGCATAAAAGAGCAAAGGTAGAAAAATTATAAAGACTAATGCTGTGAACATTACAAAGGTTATATAGGCTGTTGCTGATCCACTACCAACAATTGAAAATAAGATTATATTACATGTGAATATTGAACAACTGAAGGCTATATCAACTATTGTGAGCTTGGTGAAGCCTTGTGTCATATAAAGGAATAGAGGTGGAAAAATAAATATTGTGAATATTCCCAAAATTGTAGCTATTATCATTCTGAGATTTTTAAATTGATTTATCGGAATAAGTGCAATTAAAAGAATTACGGTGACAACTACGTAGGGAATGTATTTATTTATTTCGAAATTAAACATATCAGAAAGTGGTAATCTTGCTGATACGACAGGGAATAAACAAGTCAGGAAAAACAGAAATTTGGAGATTTTTTTTAACATTGTCTCTTTATAATAATAAACAAGTGAGAGGTTTTCAAAATTCCAAAAAAAAAACTCAACAGTTGACTTAGATTAAATACAAAAAGTATACGATGCGAAGAATTATTTTATTTATTATTGGCACTATACAAACTATAAAAATGATACTATATATATCATATATATATCATAATCTCAAAATTATAATAATAATAATAATAATATTGTATTTTATTCATGTAGTACAAACTCCACTAATCACGTTATTTGGTATTGTATGATTTTTTTTAAATATTGCCTGATCCAAGATTTCAAATGGTATGATTTAAAATACTATTATAGTGGATCACAAAGACCAACGTCAGGAAATTGTTTTCCTGAATATAGAGAAAATAGGATTGTATGTGAGTATTGTAAATATCAAAGGCAAGAAGAAGGAATAAATGCTACAACTAATGATAATTGTTCACGTGTATTTTGTACTCTATGTGATGTTGCTTTACGTTTAAACTCAAAAAGAAATTATTTTCTAGAATATCACAGTAATAATAATTAATTTTGTAATATTTAAAGGATTTTGTCCAAATTTGGAAGAAATTTTTAGTGCAAATATCTGTATTCTAAATTGTTTTTTCTCCCTAGGTAACCTTGTTTATTAGAACAAGTATCTTCGCGGTTTTAGACCAGATATCGCAGGATAACAACCTTTTCTAATTGTGAATTTCAAAAAAAAACAAATTTTTTTTGAATACATGTTTTTGTGCATTATTTATTTTCCAAAGAAAAAATAATTGATTATGAATGATGATATGTATAAAAAATGCCTTTTTCTATTTAAAAAAAAAAAAAAAAAAATGGTTTTAAATAGTAATTTTTCCGTTTGGTGGGATAAATTTCATTTCCTTTAAAGGATAAATATAAATATAAAAGAAATACGTTTTTTAAATTATATACATCACTTTATAATTACACCCTGAGTATATCTGTTATTGTTGTTTAAAAATCCTTCATGTTTTTTAAATGCATCATAAAAAAATCAAGATACAACCTATTATATGATCTTTGTACTATTGGAAAAAGTTGAATATAAGTTATAAGTTAATCAAATATATAAAATAAATACTTATTTCTTTAAAGTATAATAATAATAAGAATATAGAATAAGTCTTTACCTGCAAGTATAATAATGACTTATTAATAAAGTAAAATGTTATCATTCATATTTTAAAAAAAAAATAAAATAAACAATAATAATAAATAATAATGACACAATTCTGACAGACAAGATCACAGAAGCCTTAAACTTTTACTTCTAAGGTAACTTGTTGAAATCAAATTGATCGACTTGATTGGGTATTGCCAGAATGTAAAGAAAAGTTGAAAATATATATAAACGTAAAAAAATGTATGTGTTTCATAAAATGGTTTTTGTGCGCAGTCAAGAGACTATTTCTATTCTAAACTCAATTGAAATAGCATGTTTCACAATATAAAAAAGATCGACGATCGATTTTGTCACAAAGTGATAAAACGAATGTCCATTATGCTCAAAATGATTGGATAACTTGTTTATGTGATAATCAATCCTTGTACATATTTATCACATTGTCTGTCTTTATTTTTTTGACGTGCAAACTTTGTAAAAGATGGTTATTGCAAAATTAGAAGCACAACGTAAAACAATTTTACATTTTTGGATGAATGGTGTCCATTTACCAAAAGAAATACATGAAATATCAAAAATACCCCTTCGTACTATTCAAAGAAATTTAAAAAAATTAAAAGAGACAGGCACTAGGGATGGGGCGGTTCGGTTCGGTTCGGTTCGGTTCTGGTTCCATGGAACCGGTTACAATAGAACCGAACCGAACCGAACCGTTTGAACCGGTTCTTGGAACCGGTTCCAAAATAGATGTAACACAAAATATTATTGCCAAAACTAATTTTCTTTGAAAATTTTCACTACATATAAAATTTTCTTTGAAGGTATTACTTCCTAATATGAAAACAGTTTATGAGATACTATCTAGTCATTGTCCATATTAATATTTAATGTTGGCGATTATTTTTGTTTTGCCAATCACTAAATTGACCAATAGGAATGAAGGAAGGCAAATGAAAATGACAAAAACGGATATTAAAATATCCCGATATGGTGAAGTGGTTTTGACCTCAAATAAATTTAATTATTTAATATTAACAGATGGTCTTTTGGCGAATTGCAAATGGTTTTTTTTGAATTGTATAAAAAAAATGGACCTTTGGCAAATTGCAGAAAAGGCTTTTGACATAAATCATTTTAAATTTTAAAAAATGGACTTTTGGCATGAATTTAAAAAGAATTGTAAAAAATAGACTTATGGCATGAATTGTAAAAAGATTTTTTGAATTGTAAAAAATGGTCTTTTGGCGAATTGTAAAAAAAGACTTTTTAACATTATCATTTAAATTGTAAAAAATAGACTTTTGGTGTGAATTGCAAAAAGATTTTTTGGATTGTAAAAAATGGTCTTTTGGCGAATTGTAAAAAAAAAAGACTTTTGACATTATCTTAACAGATCATTTAAATTGTAAAAAATAAACTTTTGGGGTGAATTGTAAAAAAAGATTTTTTGACATTATCCTAATAAATCATTTAAATTGTAAAAAATAGACTTTTGGCATGATTTTTTGAATTGTAAAAAATGGTCTTTTTGGTGAATTGTAAAAAATGATTTTTGAAATATCTTAATGACGCAGGATTATCTTACAATACAAGCAACCAGTGTTCCATCAGAATGTGCTTTCTCAGTTGCTGGAAATACAATCAGTAAGGTGCGAAATTGCTTATTGCCAGAAACTGCAAGAGCATATTTGTGTATGAAGAGTTGGATAATCAATAAAGTAGGGGTTTAGAGTGTTAGAATAATATTCTCAAAATTACATATTTTTTTCCTTATACTTTCTTTATGTTTATTTTTATTTTTTTGTAACTCTATACTAATTACTAATAAAAAATCCTTTAATATTATTAATGTTTGTTTTATTTTATGCACTTTTTATTTGTATATTAATATCTATCATATTCATTCATTTGTTTGTCCGTTTATTCGTTATTTACATAATAATAATAATAATAATAATATTTAATTTGTTTAATTTATTTGAATATTAATAAGTCACGTTATTCGTATTAATCTTTCCTTTTAAGGAAAGATTAACTCAGGATTTCCTCATATAGGTATAAATCACATGGGGAACGGTTAGAACTCGGGTTCGCGGTTCTGTGTTCGGTTCGGTTCAGAACCGGTTCCTAGTGGAACCGCCCCATCCCTAATATCGAGAGAATTTTATTATAAGTGACATATATTGACTTTTAAAAAATATCCGCTAAATCGAATATATATATTATAGAAAAATTTGGTTTTGAAAATTTATCCGTTAAACCCTAAATCCGCTAAATCGAGGTCCGTTAAATCGAGACTCACTGTATATTTTGACTTTAGACAACCCCCAAAAAAATTTAGACGCCCATCTATAGTGCTGTTATAGCTTATTCCATAACAACTCTGGATTTCATTCAGGTTTTTAAATTTGACTCTCTGAAATTTTTGTCACATGGTGAACAGCAAATATGAATGAATTCTTTTCACATATGACGATTATGATTATTAATTCATAATCATCACCATGATAATTGTTCTATAATTTGAAACGAATAAGCGTGAATAAAAATATTTTAAAAAAGGAGTTAATGAATTAAAAAAAAGGGATGGCAAGTGCGGGTGTAAAAATAGTGTCAATAATGTAGCGCACAAAAGTTTCTCGTGAAAATTTCGGAAAATATTTGCCGGAAAATACAGGCAAATTTAAAGAGTGCTGATAAATTTATGGGTGTAACCAATGCAGATTTCTACAAATTTAGAAACTATCTGCAAAAAACTACTAATGTATTCCCCACACTGAATTTTATACACTGGCTGAGGAAAATAAAGGAAAAAAGTAAGATTATACGTGAAATTACATAACATACAATTAATTAATCATGATAAATTTCTTCCCATAATTTTTAATTTAATTGTTATTTATATTGTTTTTATTTGATTAAATTACATTAAAAAAAAAAAATCAAGTCATATAATACTAATTTCGTATATTAAATATTGAATTAAAAAAAGAATTTAACTTAGAATTACTTAAATAGGTTATTATTATTGGTTTTAAGAAAATTTTCAAGCTTACTGATTTAAATCTAATTCAGAAGGGTTATTCGTTAAGATCAGGGTTAAGATTATTATTACTATTACCATTATTGTTAGCAGTACTTTCTGACATGTAATTATTTAACGAATTAAAATGAGGCAAAGAAGGAATATTGTTGTTGTTATTAGTTAAAGATCTGAAAGATTTAATTGAATTTTCATCATCTTTATTTAATAATAAATTTGTTGAAGAAAGATAATTTATATTATTATTATTATTATTATTATTATTATTATTATTATTATGAAAATATGATTCATTTGTGGAAATAATGCTTTTTATTTTATTATTATTAATAATAATATGGTTGTTGTCGCTTGTTTGATTCAAACGTAAAGGAATCTTGTGTTCAAATGGTGCTCTAATTGTGGTTGTTGAATTAATAATAGAGGTGGAAGAAACGGAAGTAGAGGGAGGAGGTTTGGGATATTTTAAATTGTAATATTTACTTGCATCTCTGGCAAGTTGCTCATAATGATTAACAACAGAATCTGGTTCTTCTCTCCAAGAATTTGCTACAGAAGGAGATATGCTTCTCATTGGTAGACGATGATTTCTTGCGTGTAATTCTTTAACATATTGCATACGATAAATCATAAAAGCATTCGGTGGTTTTGACGGAACTTTTGTTTTTCCTTTTCTTGGTCTTGAGATTAATTCTTTTAGATTGATTATTGGCGGAAATGGTACTTTTATATTAGGTAACTGAATATTATGAAGATTTTGATAACTTGGATGATTTTGATGATGATAATTTGTTGATGATGATGAAGGTGAGGAAGAAGTCGATGTTGTTGTTGGATTATTTAATCGGTGATTTTGTAAAGATGAATTATTATTATTATTATTAGGAAGAGAAGGTGTGGGAGAACTATTAAGAGAAAGAGGATTGCGAAGAAGAAGATGATTATTATGAAGAAGAAGATGATTATTAATATTATTATTACTATTATTACTATTATTATTACTAACTAATGAAGCTGGTTCGTTTATAATTGACCATTGATGATGATATTGACTATGATGGTGCTGATGTTGAAGTTGATGATGATTATGTTGATGATAATTATTATCACGATTGTTAATATTACTAATATTACTAATATTACTATTATTGTTATTATTGTTATTATTATTATTATTATTATTATTATATTGACTATGTTGTAATGGTGAATTTAAAGGATGATGGATCGGTTGATATAATGAATACGGTTGTAAAGGTTGTAAAGATTGAGACGATTGCATGGGTTGAAGAGGCGATTGATGAGATTGAGATGGATGCAAAGTTTGTTGTAATGGTTGCAACAAAGGAGAAGCTTGATTAGATTCGGCCAACCGATTATTTATCATCATTTCTTTCTTCTTCTTTATTTTAATTATTATTGAAGGATAAGATTCTTTAATGTAATAGGAAGAGGAAAAATGATTTTTTATTTTAGTAGTAATGATGTGTTATTATAATTGTTCAAAATTGTAATTAATAATGACATCAATAATAACACATTCTCTTCGGTTTTTATTGATTCGCTAACTGATTGATTTTTTTAGTTGATTAAAAAAGAATAAATTTTCAAAAATAGAGTAAAAGAAAATAAATTTTTTTTTGATTTTTTGAATTTAGAAAATGTCAATATTTATATATTTTATACACTTTATATCGTTATTTCCTAGTACTTATCAAATCAATTATATACACACGCATGTATATATAGTTTACGTATATAGTATATATAATTTATAAATCAAATATATAATGAAAAAAAAACTGTAGAGTTAGTATTATTATTAAATAAACACGGAGAATTAATTCAAAAAAAAAATTAAGAATATATTTTTTTCAATTGTTTCTATAATTGCTCATGATTTCTTTATTATTAAATGAGTGAATGAATGGAATGAACGAGTAAACGAATGAATGAATGAATAATAAATAAATGAAGGAAAGATTATTAATTTTAGAAAATTTAGTAATCTTCTTCGATCGAACTGAATTAAAAAAAAACATCAAGTAAATTTTATTTTTGTTTTACGATTTTACATTATTATTTATTTGTTTATTACTCTGTTATTACATTGTTACCGGAATAATGATTTCTTCTCTAAAGAAACTTGTAATTTATCTAGACATGTGTCATAACATATGATATTTTAAATGAATGTGCGGCCGCAACTATTTACTTTGATTGGATAAATAAAGGTTGGAAAAATTACTCGCAAAAATGATAAAGTAATAAATAAGACAAAACTATGAATAATCCAACCACATGTATTAATTAATTATAATGAATCAAAAATGAATTAATCAATTTAAAAATGAATGAATGAATGAATCAATGAACAAATGAATGAATGAATCAATCAATCAATCAATCAATCAATCAATCAAACATAGTCGATGAATTAATTAATTTCAAGGAACATGATCAATTATCATTATTTTATGATTTTAGACGTTGTGGCTTGAAATCCTTTCTTGTTTATAATTTATCAGCTGCTGATTCAACTTTTGATGCAGACGAAGTACGATCCACAATTCCTTTTTTTAAGATAGTTTCGTAACCTTGACGTCCTCCAACTTCTTATATTATCGTTAATATTAAAATCATATTATTGCAAAATGTAAAAAGAAAAATTATTATGTGCGTACTTTAATTCGTTTTCCAATTTAACAGGTGCTCTGAAGCTACAACTGTTTTTTACTCTGTTTATGACATGTATGTATTTTTTGCTAGGCTATTTATTTCTGCTGTGTTTGTTGCATGCTCTGATGAGAATTTTCAATTCTGATAAATATGTGAATTCTCTATCGGCTGGAATTCCTTCATGAGCAAAGTGATTGTTTATTTATTATTATTTTGAATCTATGTGAATGGATTTATGGATTTTTTTTATTATATACGTATATAAGCTTTTAACCAAATTTAGGACAACATTTTTCCTATTAATAATCATTTTTATCATTATGATCACTTTCTTGAAAAAGATTATGATAAAAATAACCAAAATCAAGAAGAAGAGGGAAGATACCCTGTCCGATCATTTTCTTGATTACTATTATTACCTACTCGATTACTATCTTGCTGCTTATACTATTGTTATTTACTAAGATCATTATAATCTTGTTTATCGTCATTTCCCAGATAAGAATAATAATCTTTATGACCATTTTCTTGATTATTATATCTGACGATTGCTGCACAATCCAATCGTCCTCCTTGTCATCAATATCATCTTCTATTTCTCTCCTTCTATTATGAATTTACTTTTTTTTTCAATCACCATCATGATCAATTTCTTGTTTATTATTATCATAATCCCGAGCTTTTTTACCATTTTCACTGGAGCCTTCTACTGTGGTTTTACTACAAGATTTGGATAAATCTTGCATGGACACATATGGAGCATGGACAATAGAAAGATTTCAACGTCAAAAGTCGTGATTTTGAGTTGATACCACATATATACATAACTTGTCTCAAGAAACGATTTTAGCTTAAAATTTTGAGTTAAAGATTTTTTAAAAAAATAGTATACAAGACATTGGCAATAGAAACAAAGATAATTATAAAGATCATGATTTTGAGTTAGCAACATTGCTATATGCAATTCATCTCAAAAATTAATTTTAATGAGATATTTTCCGTTAAAGGGTTAGAAATGCAGATCTTGACGTTGACCCCTCCCTTTCTATTCTCCGTGCCATATTTGATTCACTACATGGCTTTATTTTATTATTACGTTTAAACCAATTTGGCGATAATCTTTAAGATTGTACACAGCTCATACTTAAATGTCACGCTAGTGTAACATAAAAGATATTGTTTGAGTGTTCTTTTTTCCTCTAAAGATGGATAACAAAATGTCTGGAACGGTGATATTTAAAACATCAATGGTATATGCATTTCTCAAAAGTTCTTACTATATGTATTAAATTGATAATATATAGTAATATATATAATATTTGATGATTAGGGAACAATAACTTTTGAATTATACTGGGATCATTCACCAAAAACTTGTAAAAACTTTTATGATTTGGTAATATATTTTTTAATATACACATATCTATCGGCAAAACTTTTTTTGATAAATTAAATTTTAAAATGATTCTTTTTCTTTCTTTAATTCATTATTTAGACAAAACGTGGATATTATAATGGTGTTATAGTTGAGTAAAAGTTTTAGTATTTAATTGATTAATGGATGATTTTTTTAGTGATTGATTTTTCCTATAATTTCTTACTTTTAGTTCCATAGAATAATTCCGGTACGTGTATGAGTGATTCAGTGTAGGGAAAAAAGCTTTTTTTCTTTTGCAATTAGGAACAAATATCAATAATAAAAAATATTTATTAATTTATTAAGGATTTCATGATACAAGGGGGTGATCCAACAGGAACTGGACGTGGAGGTTCGTCAATATATGGGTGGGTAATTAAATACTTAATCAATCAATCGATTGATTTTTATATAATGAATTCTAACATATTATATATATTAAGAGAAACATTTGAAGATGAAATTCGTCCTGAATTAAAACACACAGGAGCTGGTATTCTTAGTATGGCAAATGCAGGTCCAAACACAAATGGAAGTCAAGTAATAAGTTTATATTTATATATGTAATATTTTAAACAAAAAATTTACAAATACTTATTTGCTATTGTTACTTTTTTTAAAAAAAAGTTTTTTATAACGTTAGCACCAACGCCATGGTTAGATGGTAAACATACAATTTTCGGACGAGTAAGTGACGGTATGAGAGTTGTAAAACGTATGGGTCTTGTTCCTACTGACTCAGATGATCGGTATGTTTTTTATTTGTTTGTTTTCTTGAAAATTTTAATTTTCATTAAAATAGTTTTTTAATTTTTTCTTAGTCCAAAAGATGATGTAAAAATTCTATCTGCACATGTTATTTAATAGATTTTTTTGATTGCAATATAAAAAACCATTATGACATATGAAGCCTTAATTCGTTGTAACTCTTCCCATAATAAGAAATCATTGGATCATTAATGATGTTACCTGCATTTTGATGTCATGCTGTAACGCAAGCATTTTCTAGCCAAGATAGAAATATATTTATCTCCTGAATGGTTTTCCCCTATTCAATCTCTATTTATTATTTCTCTATATATATAAACAAAATAATATTAAGTCATAAATTTCAAAATGGTCAATTCCCCTTTACCAACAGATCTTGCAGGTTCAATATCATTATCATTAGTGTATATATAGATGCACCCACATCTAAAATCAATTGTTTAATTACAATGTTTTTCAAATTTGGTTAATTAGGTGAATGCAAAAAAGCTTCTAAAATCTTGAATAGCTTTATTGGTATGTGTAAATAATAAGTTCAATACTACTTTAAAAAAAAATTTTTCTAACATTTTTATATTTTATTGTTATTTTCATTAGATCCAGTTGCAGCAAAAGTAAGTCAACTTTTATAAAAGAAAATTAATTAATTAATGAAAAAATAATAATCTTATAAAAAAAATTTATTTGGAAAAAGGGACCAGACAAAGTTATACCACCAAATATTTTACAAAGAGCAAAAGGGTTTGCAATATTTACAGTAATCAAAGCTGGATTTTTATTTTCAGGAAGATGTGGATCTGGACTAGTTGTAGCAAGGTATTAATATATTATGAATAGAATATTGTTTTTTTTTAATTATATAGTATTTATTTTATAAATATTTTCATAATGTATTATTAGGCTTGAAAATGGATGTAAGTAATTTATGATCTGTGATTTATCTATTTATCTATATACATTTTTTATTGACTTCATTTTTGATTGATCAGCATGGTCTGCTCCCTCTGCAATTAATATTGGTGGAATGGTGAGTTTATTAATTACATTATAAATTATTGTAATCAAATGACAATTAAGGTTAAGTACAAGTAATAAATATCATTTATTCATGCTAATTTATTTATATTTATAATTACGTTTAGGGAGTTGGTGGACAAATTGGTGCTGAACTTACAGATTTTGTTATAGTCTTAAATAGTAAGGACGCAGTTAGATCTTTTATGAATGGTGGAAACGTCACTTTAGGAGGAAATTTGTAAGTAATTTATTACTATTTCAGTTATTTTAAAAAAAATTTCAATTGTTAAATCCTTTTTTCTGAATTTTCAATTAGATCTGGTACGTATTGTGTTATATATATATATATATATATATATATATATATATAAATCAATATTTACTAATATTTTGGTTCTAAATTATTGAAATAAAAAAGTTGCTGCCGGACCCGTTGGAAGGACAGCTGAAGGAGCAAGTTCAGTTTCGCTTGGAAATGTTGCAGCTATATTTTCTTATAGGTAAGTGGCAACTGGTCATTTTAGTTATTTTGTATAGTTATTTATAATAATGTGTGTATATATGTATATATACACGTAATTAATTAAATAGCAAAACAAAAGGATTATTTGCTGGTATTTGTTTATTTTTTTGTTTATGAAAAAAAATTATTATTTGAAAATTATTAAAGTCGTCAATAATAATTACAATAATAATAATTTGTCATATGTGCAGGTGTATCAATTGAAGGTTCAATAATTGTGGAACGTAAAGATACAAATTCCAAATTCTATCATTCTAAAGTATCAGCAAAAGAACTTCTATCAGGAAAAATCCCGCCGCCACCCCAAGCTGACATTTTATATCGAGCACTTAATGCAAAAGCTTCACGTAGTAACAGTTATGGTGAGACACAATATAACGATGAACCAGTTTATGGAGAAGAATATGAGCCTCCAAAATTGAGTCGATCAGTTTCTTTATCAACATCTGCTTCAAAAAATAACTCTTATCAAAATCGATACAGCGGTTCGACATCATTGTCGTCATCAACATACAAAGATAGACTTGATAATAATAAAGATGACAGCAACGACGATGGCGATGATAATAATAGCATTTCATCATCATCAATTAAGAAGAAGCCAAGTTATTCCGAATCAAATGCAAAAGATGTCCAACGTGCATTGTCTTTGTCAAATGAGTTTAATAATCGTATTAGTAGCAATAGTTTAAATAGAAAGTCATCATCTAAACCGCCACCAATAGCTCCTAAACCTAATATTCCACCGCGTAAAAAACAACAAACAGCTGTTGCCTTATATGACTTTGATGGAGAACAAGATGGTGATTTAACCTTCAGCAAAGGTGATGTTATTATTATTACAAAACAATCAGAAAGTACTAATGATTGGTGGACTGGTAAATGTAAAGGAAAAGAAGGAATTGTAAGTGTTTTTATTATTAAACCGGAATTTATTTCTTTGAAAATAATATTTTAATATTTATTTTATTTTTATTTTTATTTTATAAAAAGTTCCCAGCAAACTACGTTGAATTAAATTAAATACGGTTAGGTTTAAACTCTAGTGGTGTGAACTGAGACGAATCTTGGATGAAAAAGAAGAAAATATAATTTTAAAAAATTTTTCTCTGTTATTCATATGTAAATTATTTTATTGCTGATTCATTCATTTTCTATAAAATTATATTATTATTATCATCATTCACATTTACATTAATATTTTTATTAAAATAAAAAAATTTAATATTGTATATTTCATTACGAAAAAAATAATTCATGTGTGTGATTGATGACGAGAAAGCATAGTGGAAATTTGAAATGTTACACTAATTTTTTATATTGTGCAACGTAGCTTTACAATACACAGCAAACATTCTAGCAATAAAAAGTAAGTGATAAACTGGATTTGAATTGGATCTGAACTTGATCTCCAATTTAGAGAGGTAACAACTATATACTGGCGAAGTTTCAGAAGCAATGAGTTCTGTATAACGTTTCGTGCAACAACAAATTTCCACTATGCTTGATGAGAATCATAGGTTTTATATTGGATTAATTGCGCAATATAAATACATTATTGTTAGGGATGGGAACGGTTTAACCCAAACCGGTTCAACCGGCGGTTTGGTTTACACATTTCAAACCGCGGTTAAACCCCAGTTCAAACTCCGATTTGAAACTGAGCTGGTTACACGTTACATTTCAAAAATTGGTCACACTTATTCGTTTTATTTGTTTTATATTTACAAAATATTGGATATAAAATATTAATTCACATCTTGATGCAAAAAATTCTATATTATTGTTATTTTTATTGTTAAGGGATTTAACTATAACAAGATAATTAATTACATTTATAATTTACTATGGTTACTAGTACTATGACTTAAGAGAAGAAAAGAAAGATGTCAGCTATTACTATTTACTATTATTATCATTATATACAAGGGCTAAGAAGGAAAAATAGATTGATAAAGAAAAAATATTTTAATTGAATTGGATTTATCAAATCGTTCATTTTATTAATTTATTTGATTTAATTTTATTTGATTTATTAGTTTATTCAATTATTAATTTTATTCAAATTACATATTAGTTTATTTAAAAATCTTACTAACTTATGCTGTGGTCCTAAATTTTGAATTGGACCTGATAATAAAATTTAACTATGTTTATTTTTTTATTGTTCATAAAAGAAAAAAAAAATTACGATAACAGATATTTCAATCACAATTAATTGAATTATGGTGCTACAACTTGATACAGAGATCAGGCGGAACTCCAGCTATTGATGCAAACAATTTAAAGTACAAGCAAATATGAAGAGAATATATGATAGTAGTGGTGTTTAAAATAGCTTTAATTGTCGGAGCAAATAATTTGTTTTTTAAAAAAAAATTTTTCATTTTTATAAAAATAGATCACCAATAAAATTATAAAACTGCGGTTAAACTTGGGTTTGAACCGCGGTTCAGACCGCGGTGGTAAACCGCCAGTCGGTGCGGTTCACTAGCCAAACTGGCGGTTTATAAACCGAACCGAACCCATCCCTATACGGAACGGAATTTATGAATTCTGAAAAGTTGACTGGTGGGGCCAGTCTGTACGATCTTCGATTCCCAGAGCATTTTTTACTAAAGAGGCGCAGATGTACGGAATACGGAACCTCTATAGACTCCATCGGGATGTATATACCAAATAAATTTATCTCCTGAAGTCAAGCACGGGATGACATAAAACCATAAAACTAGTTTCATTTTCTATTTCAAACATATTAACCATTTTATTCTTTTTTGCTTGTTTGATTGGAAGATTAAAGACACTCAGCTCAACCTTCAACCTTCAATAATTTCAAAAATTCATGAGGAAGAGCATATTTGAAAAGAATTGGTTATAAACGCCTCTCTTTTTTCTTTGGTAACAGTTCTTTACAAAAATGTAGATTTCCCGTTAACATTGAAGATATACGTACACAATATCCACGGAATTCATTCATCTTGGAAATCTACATTTTTTGCTGGCTAAGCGTTTTCGCCTTTTCATGCCAATGTTATTACTACGAATCAGTGACCAACAACGTTCACATTATAATTCCAAGGTTTTATAAATAATTTATATTTTACGGATGTACTGGATGAATTTTCAGATTAAAATTATGGAATCACACAAAGTTAGAATTGCATATAAAAGTACAATAATATATTTCAATGACAAACCGTATAAATAATACGGGTTTGTTCCTCTGCCAAGGATTCGCTAACTGTTTTGGGATCATCGTAATGGTGATTTTCGGGTAGGACTTTCGATAAAGCTAGACTACTTGACAATTCTTACTTTTTACCCTTTTCCCTTTCAACATATAACAAAGTCACATGATCTATTTGATTCACAATAAAGTTCGCCTTGTGATATATGCTAATCGAATTTTATTATATAATTAACTGTTAAATGTAAAGTAATTGTTGTAGATCTATTCTTGGCATGTTGCTAGCTGTACCAGCTAAGTCAAATGACTGTTTATTCTAAGTTAAAAGTCTGTGCCGCATAAATATGAAATCAAAATGTATATAAAGGAGAATAAAATAACTTACTCGAAGTAATTAGTGTTGTTGTCATATATTATATTCATTACATATAATCTTCCATAATAAACTTGCACCATAATGAATAAAATATTATCCTCTAATATTATCCTCTAATATAAAACTTGGTATCTCAAGTTTACATACTATAAAACTTGATTGCGGTATCAGGCAACAGTTGAAGAAGAAACTGTTGTCATTGTTGTGATGGTAGAATTTGTGGACGAAGGCGTGTGGATAATGAATGGTATTGGAATTATTACTAGAATTATGATTTTAAAAGGACTGCCGATAATACATATAATACATGTAGATGTCACATGCAAAATATTAATATCATGAAAATTTTCAAGCCATAATTTACGAGTATAAAAAAGTTTTCTTCATTGAATATTTAAAAACGTAAAGATAATAAAAAAAGGGAGAAGGATCTTCCCCGTTTTTCCAAAAAAAAAACTTATTTTATTTTACCAAAACAATAATAGATGGTATATTTAATTGTATATTTCAAGAGGGTTGTAGCAGTATTTACTTTGTAATGATCCAAGTAAAGTATTCATTTTCATAATAATCCAAATGGAAGGTATTGATGGAATCATGGAGAAATTTGTTTCTAACCAAAGTTAGTAGTTTTGCAGATAATTTCTAAATATGGTAATAATTTGCTAAAGAAACCAGTATATATATACCTCTCTGAAAGTGACGCATCAGACCGCCAAAGTTACAAAAAAGGATAAATGCAAGCATGTGTCAATGCCCAAATTGCCTTTTTGCCAATAGAACTCTGAAAGCTATATGATAGGAATATAGTTCGATACATTTTCTAATATCTCTATATATAGGAAATTATTGGGATTAAAAAATTTTTTCGATGGCCAATAAAATGCGTACATTTGTTATGTAAACACAATACGTACACTGACACTGACTGTAACTTCCTTAAATAAAAGGTTGTTATACAACATTACAAGAAGTTCTGAGATATAACATATTTCAGAAATTTGCGAAATTATGCGTCCCTGGACCTGAGTGACCTATTTATTATATTTAGCATTTATTTTGACTTTAACCGGAAAAACTGGTTTCATAGATAAAATCTCAATCTCTAACTAGTATTTCCTATTTGCCGAATTAAAATGTTCTTTTTTGAATTCATTAGTTTTATATTTATGTTGATGATGTACATTGGGTTTATAAATTTATAAAACAACCAAATTTAATCTAAACCATAAAGATTAATTGTTTTTGTTGATGCTTTACATCACTATTATTGTTAGCATTCATTATTCGTAATATTCTTTTTCCATTTTGTTTTGAATATTCGAATATTCTCAATACTTGAAAGCAGTATTCTTATTCACATGAAATGATGTAAATATTTCGAACAATAGTAATAATGATAGATAAAAAGGTAGGTAACGGTGGATTTGTAACTATTTACAAAGCTACATGGATAAACGGGTAGCTTACGAAACCTATAAATGGTTTTAAATATTTATCTTTCTGTTTATTCTTTAGTTCAAAATCAAATTTATGGGCTACAGTCTAACCTTGTCACAGCAGACTATAATTAAATTCTTGGCATAACGGGTTTTGCTTCGCATATAAAAACATATAAAAATCCGTTGTCGGCAAGATTAGTTAATTTTGCCATAACGGTTTTTAATTAAAATATTCTTGTTATTATGTGTCCCGTTCATCCACTGTGGCAAGGTTTGACTGCATCAAAAGATCTAATTGCATATTCGCGATGAAATACATTAAAGACGGAAGTCTTAACAATTTTAGAGATTTAAAATAAATCAATTCATATAAAGCAAAAGAATCAGATGTAGTAATAATAAAAGGAATAGATTGTTTCCAAAACTGTTTATGACATGATTTTTTCTATTTTTATTATTATTTAATCATATTTTATGATAGTGATTACATGAAACTCTTCGATTTACCATCTTCATAGTCATCCATTCAGCAATTTACCACATTATAATTTTTCAAGGATTTTCAAATCGACCAATAATCTAGGAATTTTAATTTTTGGTGTTTTCGACTTGACACATTTTTTACCCTAAACTGCATATAATAATAATTTTCAGTTATCAATGAGTTTCTTGAATGTATCAAATAGAATATAATCGTTCAACGTGTCAAACCTTTGAGTTCTAATAAGGTCACAATTATTGGCAATCATGACGGTAACTAATATTATTGATAATTCTAATGATGTTACTCATTGTTGTTAACATTTTTAAATTGATAGGTCCTGGCCAAATTAAATTAACTATATCTGATGAATTTCCCGACGACAACAATAAAGATATTATATCACAAAAAAAGAATATGCTTACTTTTGGAACTAATGTGTACCAACAATGTATTATCAATCTTGATGATTGAAAATCCCTTTCATTAATATTAATTAATTATTATGAAATTTGGCAATCATCAACGTGTACATCATTTATAAACTCTGGAATTAAATGCAAAGAATTTAAAGTTTTCAGTTATATTGTTCGTTTATAGAATTTCGAAAAAAATTTATTTTTAGACCGACATTTTGTAAATTTAATCGTTTGATCCAATAGCGAATTTGCTTTATTTAATAACATATGATTTATTATTACCCGCAAATGAGTCCCGGTATTCTTTTTTATAATAATAATAAAAAAAAGGATGGCTAATTGGATTTATTGATTGGAAAAATATTTCGGTATAAATAGAAGATAAAAATGAATTCAATTGTTTTTTTTTCCCTAATTAAATTATCATAAACATGACTGATCCAAAAGAACAAAATTCCAATATCATTAAATTAACTAATAATGACCTTGAAAAACGACATGATGATAATAATAAATCAGATGTAATTTTTAATTCTTTTTTTTAATTAAAATTTATATTTTCTCTGATTTTTTCTTTTTTTTTAAAAAAAAAATATTAATTTTTTCAATAATTAGTCGTATTTATCAAGTGTCACTTTAATCCTTGCTTTCAAAACGCTTGGTATTTATTTATTTTATTCTATCATTTATTTGTTGTTGTTATATTGATTAATCACGATAATTAACATGTGACAACTAAAAGGTGTGATTTATGGTGACATTGGAACATCACCTTTATACACAATCAATACTATTTTTACGAGTCCACCAGCAGATGAAAACGATGTTCTAGGTAAAAATATAATAACAAGCGATTTATGATTTATTAACTAAACTTATTGATCTATACTAACTATTCTAATACCAATTGTTTAATTAGGTGCTGTGTCTTTAATTATTTGGTCATTGGTAAATATAATAAATCAATCGATCAATAAATAATTTTTTGTTAGTAATCATTTATTAATTTGTAAATTGTTATTATTTTTTATTGTTCTTCTTAACATCGACATCATCTTCAACATCCTCCCTTCTTCGTCATGTCAATTAGACAATTTTACCTATGATAAAATATATTTTTATCATCTTAAGAGCTGATGATAATGGTATGGGTGGTACATTTGCTCTTTATTCTTTGATATGCAGGTAATTTTGACCCATATTTTTTTTCTCAACTTTAATTTATTTGAGAGGAAAATAATACTAAAAAAAATTTTTTAAAAAATTTAGACATTCTAGTTTATCAGTTCGAGGAAAAGAAAGATCTGATGATTTAACTATAATGAATTATGATTCAAAATCGATTCACAGCTTAAAAGATAAAAAAAATATAATTTCCGGAAACAAATTTGTTCAAAATGCTTTGTTAATCTTGGTGTTACTTGGTGCTTCATTGATCATGAGTGACGGCTTGTTAACTCCTGCTATTTCTGTAATATCTGCTGTGGAAGGAATGGCTGTACCTGCTCCAGGTTTAACTGATGCCATTGTACCATTAAGTTGCACTATTATTGTGTTATTATTTCTAGGTCAAAAATTTGGTACAAGTAAAGTGGGAGCATTATTTGCACCAATTGTTTTACTTTGGTTCCTTTCTTTGGCAATAATCGGTGCTTGGAATATTTCTCAATATCCTCAAGTTCTTAAAGCATTTAATCCACAATATGCATTCGAATATTTTATAAGGAATGGTGAACAAGGTTATAATAGTTTGGGCGGTGTTTTGCTTGCAGTCACTGGTGTTGAAGCATTGTATGCTGATTTAGGTCATTTCTCAAGAAAATCAATACAACTATCATTTCCACTTTTCGTTTATATACCACTAGTAATGGCTTATTCAGGTCAAGCTGGAAGATTAATATTAGAACCTAAACTTATTGATGGTCCTTTGTTTTGGTTGACTATACCACAAAATCAAGTAATATACTGGATCGTATTTGTATTGGCAACTTTGGCAACTATTATTGCGTCACAAGCAATGATCACTGCTACCTTTTCTTTAATTCATCAAGCAATGCAATTAGATTGTTTTCCAAGAGTTAGGGTATGGATTGGATTTATTTATTTATGAATTTATATATATATTAGTTTATTATATCAATTTTATTTTTTTGAATTTCTCTATAGGTTATTCATACATCAAAAACTGTTCATGGACAAATTTATATTCCAGAGGTAAATGAATATATAACATGACTTCTATAATTTCTATAAATTCTTACAATTTCTATTATATTTTTTCCAGATAAATTATATTTTGATGATTTCAACGGTTTTGGTTTGTGTTGCATTTCAAAAATCAGAAAATCTTACAAATGCATACGGAGTAGCAGTAATTACAGTTGTATTTATATCAACAATATTGTTTTCCATTGTGATTCGTATAGTTTGGAACTTACCATTAATTGTCAGTATAATGTTTTTACTAATATTTGGAGTAATTGATGTTTCATTTATGGGCGCCACATTCCTTAAAATACAATATGGTGGATGGTTTACATTGGTTTTTGGATTCGTATTATGTGTAGTGATGTATATTTGGAAATGGGGCACAAATCTTCAATTGGCATATGTGATGAAAAATAAAACCAATCTTGATAATATATTTATAACGGAAGAAGATGATGAGAATGACCGTGGTGATGATAGTGGCGATAGCACTGCGGGTGGAGATATTGCTATAGATTCTTCTAGATCTTCTGCAAGAAAAAGAAAAAATAATGACTTAAGACTTAAAACTAATCAATATCCAATTGTGAGATTACCTGGCGTCGGTTTATTTTATAATGAAGTCGCTAGTGGAATCCCGATCACCTTTAATCATTTTATAAATCATTTACCTTCTTTGCCAGAAATTCTAATATTTATAACGATCAGACCTTTGGCAATACCATATGTTGGTGAGGAAGATAGATTGGTGGTGCAAAAGATTGGTAAATATAAAGGATTCTATAGAATTATCGCAAGATATGGTTATATGGAATCAATTTCTCAAGATAAAGAATTTATAAAGAAAATTGCTGATATAATACGAAATGATGATATTTACAATGATGATAAAGAGATCGGAGTTAATGTTAATCATGATGTTGTAACTTATATTGTTTCTACACAAAAACTTGATCCAAAACCGAATTCTAATTGGTTCAGAAAAGCTTTATTAGAATTTTACATGTTTCTAATAAATAATTCTAGACAATCATATGGTAATTGGAATATACCAATAGAGGATGTTATTGATGTTGGCATGAAAATTGCTGTTTAAGAAAAGTTGTAAATTGTTGTAGTATTGATAAAAGTTTAATGTATTATTATTATATCATTATAAATATTTTTATTATATATATTTTTGTGTTTATATTATTAATAAAAATACATGTTTAATCTAAATTTTTTGTATATTGAATCGGTTTTTTAATGGTTACAAGAAAACTGTTGTGTGTGAAATTTGAAATTATGTGAAATTGAAATCTATGAAATTCTGATTGACTAATTTGAATTTCACGTACGTGAATTGCAAATTCACATAAATTTCATTTTCACGCACAACGAAACAAAAAGAAATGTATCCCAAGTAAGATGGATGAGTGAATGAATGGTTGACGGAGAATATATGAAGTAGAAGGTTATCGAGTATGTAAGTGATAATTAAAAGATTTTGAAGACAGATTTTGAAAAGAGATTGTTAATAGGAGTCGCTCAATTGATATGAATTTTAATTAATAAAGGGGAAAAAGGGGTGTGTATAAACAATTGCTAATATATTCCAGGAATAAAAATATATGGTACACGTTTACAATATTCTTGCCAGTCGTTTCCATATTTCCTGGAACATCTTTCCATATCTCTAGTAACACGATGAGTTAATACAACAACAAAGAAAGCTGGATAGAAAAATGGAATGAGCGTATTAAATCCAGTGATGAACCCCCAATCAAAAGCCATTAACAAATCAGCTGTATAATGAATTTTACGTGCAATCCCCCACCATCCGCTTGTAAGCAATAGGTTTCCTTGTTTTGTTTTAATATAATCGGGGTTTTTCAATGTCCCCCATGGAAGTTGAGGAAATGTGTATCGAGGAATGTAAGTTCCATTGATTATCATTCTAAATCGATTTTTTTGAGAATTTGCAGTGTCCCTAAAAGGAAAAATTAATACAATGACATAATGAATTGATTTAACAATTGTAATCAATAAATAATAACCATGATAATAATAATAGCAATAGTAAATACCACATATAATAAGCTGATAATAATAAACCATAGCAAAAATATGTCCAAAATGATGAATGAGTAATTGGATGACCATTATCAACACTTGAGATGTGAAGATATAATGTAGAGTAACAATATGTGAATGGCACTAAAAAAATTTACGAAAAAAAAAAAATAACTAGTTAGATTTTTAATTATTTGGATTTTAAAAAAAAATTTTTTTTTGCTGAAAATTTGATTTTCATACCTCCAGCAAAATTCCAAAAAATAAGCATAAATCCAAACTAATAAAAATATTTAGCACAATTAATTAATTAATTCATTTATGTCATCAATTAAATGAATTGATTGATTACCTTTTCATAAGTCATATCCCAAGTTGTAGGAATACATTCTTCACCTTTCATACATGCATTCACATACAGGAAGTGTGCAAATACCATAAATGCCATAGATGATGAGACATAACCAAACATTTCATATTCTTTAATAGCAGCAGATACCGAAATATAAAATAAAATTACCTATGTATTATTATTATTTATTTATAAATAAATCAATAAATGAATAACAATAATGAAATAATTATTCTTTATTTTTTTAGATAAAGAAGAAAATACATAAATACCCAAGGAATTCTGATTTCAGCAAAAATTTTCAAATCAACTTTTCCAATTCTAGGATTTAAAGCAGCTCCCATAAAAAGATCATACATCAAATATCCTGACATACGATATTGCTCACCTTGAAATATTGTAACAGCATAAATAATAAATGTAATCAAGAAACCAAAAATTATTGCTACACTCATCAAAGGTCCAAAATTATCAATAATGTCTGTCAATTTAAACAATTCATAATGATGAAGTAGATATGATGTAAAAATGGTCACATAAAATGACCAAACTCCATTACAAAGATAATCCAATTGTTTTCCTTTCAATGAAGAAACAGGTGCTCCCTTAACTATAGGTCCTGGCATAGTATAAGCCAAAAAAAATTCAAAAACGCAAAATGTTATATAGATTTTAGCTGCATAAAAAGTTGGCATTGAGCCTTGTATTATCGATGTCCATAATTTTTCATTAAAAGGTGACTCCAATCTCCCGCGATAAAATTGTAGACATCCCCATAAGTAATACATTAGAATGGGAAAGCCGATCATCATTGCAGTAACTCCCCATGGTCCACCAAATTCGAAAACGATTTGAGAATCCACCATTTCATCAAGTTCATTAAATTTCAAATTAAGTCTTGTAGCGTCTTTTTCATTTTTTTGTTTTATTGTGTTAGTTGTGACGATTGAAGCACCTTTATGTGATGACATTGTTACTTATTTTTCGATAAAAAAAGATTAAAATTCAAGGTTGCAAATTTAAAAGGAAACGATGATACATACATACTATATTGGTTCATTTGTTACACGTAAATTTTTTTTACTAAGATGCAGATTTTAAAGGAACAAATTACATTTATACTATATTGGTTCAATATTAAAACACACATTAAAAAAAAATTTTGCCGTGTTACTGTCTTTTTCTAAATTCCGTAATTTTTTTTTGTCGATTTTGCAAATTAATATTCTTTTTGTGTTAAGTTCTGTTTGGTTTTTGGTGCGATCAACGTTTTCACCTTATTTCGAGTCGCAATTGCAATGAACTTCCGCTTCCCATTTTTTTTTTATTCGAAAAAAGGTTCATTATATAGTCGAATAAAATATGTTGATTGTTGATCATCTATCGAATTAGGATTTTGTTGTAAATCAGCATGGTGATACACAGAAAAACTTTATTTAAATTGTTGAAATACATACAACGCGTTTTTTAAAGATTGATCAAGATTTAAATTACCTTTCAAAATTAATTCTTCAGACCCCTCCAAATTAATATTATTTTTCATTATCTATAGTATTTTCATCCTCTTCTTCATCTTCTTCACCTAATACAGATGTATTATCTAAACTTTCTAATCTATTATTTTATAAATTTCCTAAATACTCGATGCCATTCTATGATTTTATGGAACAAATGAATGTCCCCACCATGCTTGCGTTTCGTTATATAGAGGTTTTTACTGTAAAATTTCAACATCAATCACCAAAAAAAAATTTCGGGAAAATACACTTGAAAATCGTTTTGAGCGAGTTCAACTTGATATTAATATTGATTTGAATTATCCGCTTTATTTGCTTTATTCGTTTTATTTGAATTATTTGAATTATTTGAATTATTCATTTTATTTGTTAAACTTTCAATGTAACTCGAATACATAAAATAATTCAGATAAATCTTATTCAAAATAGGATCTATTTTTTATAAAATTCATCGTCTCCACAAACTTTTAAACACATGCAAACTCTTATAGTTCCAGATCCTAAAATATAACACCTTTGAGTAATTTAGTCTATGCCTCTAGAAGAAACTCAACACTGATTGCTATAATAAGTTTGAAATCAATAAATTCTTAATTCTAAATAAGCAGTGCAAAAATTTATAATGCCAAGTAATTTTTAGACCAAAGCTCCAAATGATTTAGTTTTGGTTTGGTTCAAAGAGTAAGACGAAACCAAACCTAAATGAACCAAAATATTTGGAGCTTTATGCATACCCCAACGGAATGTCTCTTAGTGTGGAGATAATTTCTCGAAGTCACGTGTGATAATTAAACCAAAATGGAAATTATTTAGATTTTTTTTTAAAAAAAAAAAAATCATTTTTAACATGCCAAGTCTTGACATTAATGGATTACCACAAACTGAAGAGGAAATTGATTTTACAGATATAGAAGAGAAGTATAAAGTTTCTTTTGAAAAAGGGCTTGATACAATTATAGTAGTTGATAATGCACCAGTTGTTGATCAGAGTAGAGTAGCTAAATTATTAACTTTTATAAAAAAGATTTTTAAGAATGTTGGCGAGATTAAGGAAAATGGCATTTTCATGCCAATGGATCCTGAACCTGAACCTGAAACTGGGAAATTAAAATCAAGAGGGTTGATTATTTTTAATTCAAATGAATAATTTTTACAAAAAAAATGAAATTTTATTTTGACTTATTTTATTTATATCTTTAAACATATAAATAGATATTTATTCATTGAATTTGAAACTCCAGAACAAGCTAGTCTAGCAATTAAACAGTATGATGGATATCCTATGGATAAAACACATTACCTTGCTTTAAATCATTTTACTGATATTGAAAAATATTCACAAATTGAAGAAGAATACAAAGAGCCAGAAGAAGAAAAATTTGTGGAAAAGGTTTTGTTTTTTTTTCTTATTCCCTTTGATAATTTGTTTAACCAAATTTGATTTTTACTTAATTTGGTTTTATATTCGTAAAAAAAAAATAATTTATATTAAAAAGGAACACTTAAGGAGTTGGCTTACTGATCCATCTGCAAGAGATCAATTTGTTTTATATCATAATGATGACGTTCATATTTTTTGGAACAAAAAAAAAGAGCCACCAGAAGAAGTTTATAAAAGAACTGTAAAAAAATTTTTCTTTAAAATTCAATATTTTTAATAGTAATAATAATAATATATAATAATATTGATTTTTAGAATTGGACAGAGACTTATGTTCAATGGTCACCGTTAGGAACATACCTTGCAACATTTCACAGACAGGGTATTGCTTTATGGGGTGGATCAAGTTGGAATAAGATTACTCGATTTTATCATCCTAATGTAAAACTTATTGATTTTTCACCAAATGAAACTTATCTTGTTACATGGAGCAATGAACCAATAAGCTTGGGACCTAATGGAGGCCCAGGAATACCTTTTGGACCAGATGATGAAGGAAATCAAATTATTATATGGGATGTTCGCTTTGGTGTGTCGCTCAGATCTTTTCCTTCCACAACAACATCACCAACAGGTGAACTATCATCTCAAAAAATCATATGGCCAATATTCAAATGGTCTCCAAGTGACAAGTATTTTGCTCGAGTAACACAAGATCAACAAATATCTGTTTATGAAACTCCTGAAATGGGCTTGCTTGATAAAAAAAGTATAAAGATTGAGGGTGTAATGTTTTTTGAATGGGCTCCGACTTCTGAAAAATCCAAACAATTGGGTGGGAAAAAATCTGAAGAATTTCTTTTAAGTTATTGGACACGTGAAATTGACAATCAACCAGCTAGAGTTACTCTTTTGAAAATCCCATCTAAAGAAGTATTAAGAATAAGGACTTTAGTTAATGTTAAAGATGTAAGTGTGTCATTTCAAATCATTCAAAACAAAAATAAATACAAACATAGTTCTATATTATTATAATAATATTATTATTATTACCACTGTTACTACTACTAGTGTAAGTTGTATTGGCAATCAAATGGAGATTTTTTGTGTGTTAAAGTTGATCGACATACCAAAACCAAAAAATCAACTTATGCTACTTTGGAAATTTTTAGAATAAGAGAAAAAGATATTCCTGTTGAAGTAATTGAAATAAAAGGTAAAAGGTAATTTACAGAATTATTTAATATCTGATTATATGTTCATAAAAAATTTTTTAAAAAATTTTTCATCAAAGATACTGTGATAACTTTTGCTTGGGAACCAAATGGTGAACGTTTTGCAATTATAACAACAAATGATCCTAATTATGGACAACCTGGAGTTGCATCAAGAACAAATGTATCCTTATATTATCTTGAAAAACCCAAACCTGGGAAAAGCAGTGTTGCTAATTTTAAACTTATTAGTAAGTCAACTGATATCATTTTTTTCAGAATTACCTAAAATTTTTTTTGATTTTTTTATTAAATTTATTAGAAACTTTGGAGAAAAAAACTTCAAATTCAATATTTTGGTCTCCACATGGTCGACATTTTGTTTTGGCTACCCTCAGATCACAGTCAGTTTTTGATTTAGAGTTTTGGGATTTGGATTTTGAAGGATTTAGTGGTGAACGAGGAGAATCATCAACAAAGAATGATCCAGCTGCATCTATTCAACTTATGAGCACACAAGAACATTATGGAGTAACTGATATTGAATGGGATCCTACTGGTCGATTTGTAATAAGTAGTTCTAGCATGTGGAGACAAGGGGTAATAAAATTTTCTCAAAAAAACAATATATTAAATAGCTCACATTAAAAGATGATTAATTAACTTGAATTTATAAATTAATTAATAGAATGATAATGGATACACAATATGGGATTTCAAAGGCACATCATTACAAAAACATTTAATAGATAAATTCAAACAATTATTATGGAGACCTCGCCCTAAAAGTTTGTTGAGTAATGAACAAAAACAGAAAATCAAAAAGAATCTACGAGAATATTCTAAACAATTTGATGAAGAAGATACATTAGTGCAAACATTTGTATCTAAAGAACAGATAGCACATCGTCGTAGACTTATGGATGAATGGAATGCCTGGCGTAAGCGTGTTGAGAAAGAATTGAGTGAAGAGAGAGAAAAAGCAGGCTTCAAACCAACTTCAAAACATGTTGAAGAAAATGTTGAAATTGTTGAAGAATGGATTGAAGAGGTTGTGGAAGAACTTGAAGAAGTTATTGATGATTAAATATAATTCTTTTTTTCCACCCACATTAATATTTCATATTACTAATAAATTATATAAAAGAATTCTCCTTGTATTATTATTATTTTTTTAAATTGATTGAATGGGAATGAAAAAAATTTTTTAATATGTTAGTTCAAATTTGGTAATTATATACACACCCATACAAAAGTATTGACTCACTTGATGATCTGCCAAAATAATCAAATAAACGGGTAATACAAATACTCGTTTTTTTACTAAGCAAATCGATGCTGTGTATTAGTAAGAAAATGTTTGTTGAAATGATTACCATAATAATAATCTAAAATATCACATTGGGCCGATTGTTATTGATAATTATATGGTGTTTAAAAGTCAAATTAAAATTTTTCGAAATTTTTTTGAAAAAGTAGCACTTAGAGCTATTTTAAGATACAATGTTTTAACACATCTTGGAAACTTAGAAAATGTTGCTCCGTTTGTTCTCAAATGTATATATATGTACACATTCATAATTATTGATCAAATATTCATGGGGCATTAATACAAAACGTAAAAATAACAAAAAAAAATTTCATCAACAGTTTGTATAATATTTTTACATAATAAATCTTTATTAAATTTATATCAAAAGTATCAAAAAAGTATAAATATTCATTCATTTATTCAATATTTTGTCGGGTTTTCTTTTGATTCAATTACAGCTTGGACCCTTCGAGGAATGCTGTCTACTAATTTTTGCAAATAATCACGATCAAGATTTACCCATTCATCCATTAAATAAGAAATTAATTCATTTGTATGTATTTCTTTGGGGAGCAATAGTAGTTTGATCTTAAATGCTTTTATTGACCAGCAATATCGCAAATACTTTCATCTGCTTCCCAACGTCCAATTATTCAAAGTCAGTTAATTGAGACATGATGTTTAATTAAAATAACAAATTGAAAGTTCAATCTTTTTTTTTTAAAAAAAATCTATTTGGTTAGATATTTCAGCCGCAATTGCCCTTTAAAGTTTGTTCGCGCTCACTCTTAACTAAAAGAAAATGTGTAACTTCAAAAAACAGATAATGGGGAAGCATAGCATAGTTAATAGTAGTAGATAATGAATAATATTACTACTAATAACTTATTATATATAACATCATATTAATATTTGTTTTTTCAAAAAAACATATCTACCAATTAAACAATGAGATTGGATTATTGTTCAAAACATAATGGTGGGCGGTAAGTAATAATATATCAATTACTAATAATAATTCTTATTGTATATATATAACTCTATTAACGAGGTTTACTATTAGAGTTATTGTTACATATGCAACTGATTTATTATAATGGCTTATAACATTGTATTAACGGGTTTTGTTATTATGCATGCGACCATCAAGGTAATAATAATATATTACTAATAATTCTTATTGTATTAACGGGGTTTACTGGTTTATTGTTACGCATAGTAAGTAATAATATAATAATAATAATAATTCTTATTAAATATATAACATTGTATTAATATTTCTTTTCTTCCAAAATGTGGGGTTTACTATATATTACTATTATTGTTACGCGCGTGATCATCAAAGCATAACGCAGTAAGTAATAATAATGTTGCAATAAAACCAGACCACAATTGTATTACCAATGTAATATTTGTCTAAACAAAAATAGTTAATATGAAACTCGTTTATATTAGATCTACTATGGAACTCAAAAAGTATACACCATTAGAAGTATTTTGAAGAACAAGGTGAAAAATTGCTTCTTACATTTCAAAATAGATGATACTCAGGCACTTGAAGCTTATCTAAGAAAAAAAAGGATTACCTATAAAATTTACCAAGAAGAAAGAAAAATCATAACCAGTAAAAGAACTTTATCACAAAACCATGAAGAATTTAGAAAGAAAATTGGAAAAGGAAACAATTTGCTACCTAAATGTTCAGGAAATCACGACGGATTGAAAAGCTTTAATGTGAAATGTTTGAAAAAAATTTTTTTTTGGTTAAAAAAAATTATCATCATTGCTATTACAGTCTGGAATTATACCATAAATAGTATTTCCTAATTTATTAATGCTCAGCGTTCTGGAATTTTTAGAAAAAAATTTAGTAGTGGTTGTATCCGTTGATTATCTGGGTGTTTGAGTACTTGGTCAATCAATAAAGCTCAACACCTGGATAATCGGTCAGTCAATAAAACTCAACATCCAGATAATTGGTCATTCACCAAATATCCGCCGGATATCCATTGAATATTCATTGATTTATAATAATTATTTATTCTTCAGGAAAAATATTTCCAATACATTGCATAGTTTTCTTAAGAAATACAAATAACAATGGATTCAATTTTATTCATTCGGCTGTCATTGTGTTTCCAGCTTCACTAAATACAGTCAAACCTTGTCACAGTGGATGAATAAAGATTTATGGCAAGATTTACTGATCTTGCCACAATGGATTTTAAGTTTTTATATTTTAATGTGAATGTGAAGCAAAAATTTTAAAAATCTGTTATGATTATGGTCTGCTGTGACAAGGTCTGGCTGTAGACGCTCATTTGGAGTAGAAGTTACTACAATGCATAAATATTCATTCTTTAGATAATAATGACACAGTTGGTATTCATATTACTTGATATGTTATTATTGTTGGTGATAGTGTAATAGTGCATAAAATAGTATTTACATGTTAATGTATTAGTAATTTTTTCAATTACATGGATAAAAATTTTTATTTTTTATATTTCTGTACCACCGATTGTTTATTCACCAATTATCCAATGAAATTTTTCAACACCCAATTAATTACAGTGAACCCTCCATAAATGCACCCCCCTTGGGAATGGATGAGAGCGTGCATTTATGGAGGGATGCATTTATAGAAGGGAAGAATTTTATTGGTTGCACGTGATACTAATAAAAATTATTGTACGATTTTAAATATTTTTTTAATTACTATTATTATTACATATTAAATATTATTGTTGACTAAAAAATTGTTTAATTGTGGTTTGCTTCATTGAAGTTTTTTTTTAAATTAATGTATCGCTCAAGGGCATTAAATTGTCCTAATTGTTCTTTAGAATTTTCTTATTTTATTTTTGGTTACTATAAAGTTTTAAAAAAAAATTTGTGATCTTTTATCTTTTGTTTAATCCTTAATTTCGCATATATATAATTTTCTCCATTTGTGTTTTTATCATTATTATTCTAATAACTCTTTGTAAACATTATTTAATCCTTTATAAGCAACAGTAGCTTACTTAATCCTTTATTTTCCATTACTAATATTTAAATAGATTTATAAATAAACGTTTGAATTAACTAATGTAACACGAATTTATTTAGCAAATAAATCATGTGAAAGTCATGGGCGTGCATTTAGAGAGGGTGGTTTTATATGAACAGGGATGGAGGAAGACCATGCAGTGCAGAGTATGGAGAGTGTGCATTTATCTCTAATCCCCGAGGTTGGGGATGAGACATAGTGTGCATTTATGGAGGGATACATTTATAGAGAGTGCACTTATGGAGTGTTCACTGTAATCAATGAAAATTTTTCAGCATCTGATTAACCGGCAGATACAACCACTAAAATTTAGAAATTTTAGTGATTAGCAAATTTTAATTAGTAATTAGCAAAATGTCTTTAACTTTACAAGTTTTTTTTTTTGAAATAACCATCTAACAATAAAAAAATTTTTTTATTACTATATGATTGGATACATGCTGAAAATGGATTTTGTGTTAATTTTCATCTCACGAAAACTAGTTTTTGGTGTAGCTATGTATGAGGCGAGTGACTTAAAAGAGGTCAGGAATTATTTATCCTTGCTGATCATATAGACAATCACATGACTACACTCCATCCTTTAATGTGGGGTATCACATTTATAGATCAACAAATCTAATTATGTAAATTAATATGAGCGGATTTTTTAAAGTGATATCTGAAAATTTCATGGTAAATATTTTTTTAAAAAAAAAAAATTTATATGATTTTAGTGATTTTTAGTCACAATTTTTTCACAACTGGTATTTATTACCTGTAAAAATCTCTCTATACAGTCAAACTAGATATATTACACTACAACATACTTGAAAATGAAAACAACATGGCTTTTTTTCACAGACTAGTAGGATTATGAAACCATTATTATTTTCCTTCCTTGTACGATCATAAAAAAAATATCTTAATGATTGACATTATGTGACATCACTTAAGGGTGGAGTGATCGACCATATATTTTTATTTAATAAGAAATGATCAAAATAATTTTTGAGAGTAACATCACATTTTATTTCACTTTGAAGGTTAATAAAATAAAAAAACTACAAATAAGATTTATAAATATATATTTCAAGGTTTTCTCTTCATTTCAGTACCAAAAAAACCAACATGTATTTTGTAGGTTACTGAGAAAATACCTTTAAAAAATAATAACTCTTGCAAATGAGTGGGTAAAAAACACAAATGATATATGTTTTTATTAATATTATGATTAAATATTCACAATACTCATAATTACTTATTTTTTTAATAGAATTACAACCAAGTAAAGCAAATGAAGAGTGTAATGATGGGAAATAGTGTACAGTCCCTGGCGAAAGTAATGGTGGTACAATGAAACATTATTTTTACTAAGTTTTTATTAAGTAAATCGATCTTTTATATTAAATAAAGTTGTTCACAATGAAAAATTCTACATATCCTAAATCTTTTATGAAGTTTAGAGAAAATTTTTTGATGTGTTCTTGCACTTTACATTTGTATAAAAAAATTTGATTTTTCTTTTTCGTAAAAGCGTAAAATATAAAAACATATTAAAAATTTTTATCCAAACTTCATAAAATTTTTAGGATATGTGGAATTTTTCATTTCTAATAATTTTATTTAATGTATAAAGATTCATTTACTTAATAAAAAAAAAGTTTTATAGAGAAATGAAATTTAAAAAATTCTTAAAAAAGCCAAAGTTCCGATTTTTTTTAATGCTCAAATTAGATTCAAACCGGGATTGAGAAAGGAGGAAAATGGTTTATACTATAAGCTTTTAAAAGCATAATGTTTTACTTAGAGGTGTTTTAAAAATAAAATTTTATTAATAGTTGCTTATTAAAAATTTTTAGTTTTTAAAAAAATTATCACCACCATTACTTTCGCCAGGGACTGTATTTCGTTGTAGTATAGTAAAAATATATAGTTCACTCTCTATAATGGACCATTTGGTTTATGAAAAAATGTCCATTAGCAATATATGGGACATATAAATTGGGCTTAATTCTCAGTCCGTTATAGAGCAAGATCCTCTGTTATTATTATTATCATCATCATCATCATTATCATCATCATAGAAAGATCTGTTATAGAGAGTAGTTACTATTTTTTTTATAATTTTTTGACACTTATTTCAAAATTTTGAGCAGTTATGTTAGTTCAAGTTTATATACTACAGGAGTTGAAGCTTTAATATGTCCTTTATACTAATACTAACAGTCATGAAGTACTTAAACACTTTGTTATCTGTTATAAATAACTTTATTAAATTGCAAAATAAAATCGTGTAACATAAAATTGTTTTAGTCATTTTGTATAACTGATTTTTGATATGGTGATCACTCCACCCTTAATTTTGATTTAATTAGATTGTGACACCCCCAATCCTTTAAGCCAATGATTTCTAAAAGATTAGTTATGAACATAACTTACTATAATAAACCTGTCTATTTTTGTCAATTAATGATATATATTTATTTTTTATTAATTCAAACATTATATTAATATTAAGCAAGCTATACATTTAAACAATATATATGAATTGATTTATGAACTACTAATTCAGATATCTTTTCTGAAATTGTTTTATGAATTAGAATATTTATAATTTTTGGATATTTTTTTTTGTGATAATAAATATTAATATTCTATTTAATCACATAATTTTTGCAGATATTCAGAGGTTTCACTAAATTTGCGGATAACTACACGATTATACCGCAATGATCGGCATTAATTGTAGCAAATTCAAAAAGAATTGTAAAAAAAGTTGGATGTTTTGGTATTATGAAGACCCATAGTTATCCCAAAGCACCTTCGAGAATTAGGTCTCATTGAATCAAGTTAAATAGATGTTTTATGAATTACTAAATTCACTTCAAACAAAATTCATGTGACTTCTTGACCTGCAGTCTCAAAAAAGTTTATATTCTTTGATAGACATCTCAAATTATCTTTAATTGACGATCCGTGAATGAATGAGAGAATTTTTGTGTGATCGGTGGGGCAAAAATGTAAAAAAATCACCAATCAATAATGTTTAACAAACAATAAAACACAACGTTTCTGTATTACAAACTTATTCTTTTTATGTTATATATAAAGTAAATCTCATAGATTACTGTATTAAAAT